AATGTGGTTCGGTTAGAGAGGGAAGGGATGAGCTTAAATACTGTTGAGCTAAAAGGAAGTAGGCAGAAGAACTCAGTGCTGCCCTAACTGCGGGAGCACAGACCCCTCCCCCAAGGCAAAGCTGCTAGTCCCGAGGACCAACCTAAGACTAGGACAAACCAAGGATGTGGAGGTCAAAGACAGAAGAGGAGAAACAATGATAGTCAGGAAACAGAACTGTCCCAATCATTAAGAGCTCAGAGGAACCCCTTCCCCCATCCTCAGGTACCAACTTTGTTATTCTACTTGACTCTTTGGTTTCACAGGTGTGTGCCCAGTGAGTGAGATGGCCTTGAAGTATATACTGACCACAAAAGGCTCAGGCAATGCCGTGGTGATTGTGGTGGGTGGAGCTGCTGAAGCCCTCTTGTGCCGGCCAGGAGTTTCTACTCTCTACCTTAAACAGCGGAAAGGTTTTGTAAAGTTGGCGCTGAAGACAGGGTGGGTCCCTAGGTTCTGGTGCCCTATTGTCAGGATGCTTTAGGTCCTCTATAGCACCTCTCCAGAATGGTATCCTTCTTTGGAAACCTGTTAGAGGGAACTCTCTCTTTACTCTAATTCTCTCTACTCCCTCACACGATACTTTAAAGATGTTTGGGTCTCCAGACCCATTTCAATGGGCATTTTTTTACTCGAAGTTGGAGAAAGAAAAATAGATTTCTACCCATTAGCCTGGTAGGCTTGGGTCTGAAGAAGTGCAATTTCACTGTATATCAACCCATTAACTGTTAGGCCCAGAAAACCTACCCAGGACAAGAAGGCACTAGGCTTTATGCTGTGGGGATTGCAAAGATGGATAAGACGTGGTTACAGCCTCCAAAGAGCATATAATCTAATTTGAAAAATAGAATGCATTTGTTCAGCAGTTACTTACTGTGTGTCAGGCATGGTACTAGGCATTGAGGATATAAAAATAAATACAACCTGGTCCTCACTTTTAAGGAACTCAGTCCCATAGGAAAGACAGACATATGCACATGTAATTACAAAATATATCCAGAGGCCAACCACTTGCCATCTTAACTGCCACCCCCTGGTTTAAACTATCGTCACCTGTCCCCTGGGTTATGACAGTAGTCTTGTAAGGGGCTCTCCCTGCTTCTACCCTTCCTTCCCCCACATCTAAGAGTCTACTCTCAACTGTAGCCAGGATGACCCTATTAAACGTGAGTCAGATCATTTCACTACTCCAAATGCTCCCATTTCACTCAAAGCAAAAGCCACAGTGTTTACAATGGCCTGTAAGACCATAAATAATCTGGTCATTAGCTACCTCTCCAACCTCATCACCCACTGCACTCCTTGCTCACTCCATTAGAGCTATACTGGCCCCCTTGCTATTCCTCCAATAAGTTGCACACTCTTGCCTTAGGTCCTTTGCTCTAGCTGTCCTCTGTGCCAGGAACACTATTCCTATAAATAATTGCTTGGCTCATTCCTTTACCTCTTCCACGTCTCACTCAAATGTGTCTTATCAATAGGTCTATCCTCACCGTCTTGCTCTATTTTTCCAATTGCACTTATCATCTTCTAACATATCATCAATTTTATTTTATATATTGTTTTGTTGTTTGTTATTTTTGTTGTCTGTCTTCCCTCAATAAAAGATAAACTCCGTGATGACAGAGATTTTTTTAAACTATTGTATTCGCTATATATCCCCAGGGCTTAAAACAGTACTGGCACACAAAGAACACAATAAATATTTGTTAAATGAATCACATGATATAACGGAGATATGTACAAAGTGATACGAAAGCACCAATTGATGGAAAGAGTTTCACCCAAAGTAGAGGTTTCGTAGGTGGGTGACAACCGAATTGTGAACTGAAATCTTAGTAGGAGTTGCCAGTCAGACTGAAAAGGACAAGGAATTCAGGCGACCTACATGTCAGGCACTATGCCAGGCCTTTGAGATTCAAAGATGGATAAGACATAGTCCCCACCTTTGATGGGCTTGCTGCCCACTGGGGGAGTAGGCCAGGTAAGGAGGCCACGGGACTAGCTAGGATGGTGTTAACACAGCACAAAGGTAGGTGTAGGTGAGGGGCACCTAATCCGTGTTGTGGGGGAAGGGCCGGGGGTGGGCACGGGCTGAGCGTTGGAGGGCAAAATAGAATCCGCCCCGTGAAGACAGAAGGGGGCACTTCCAGCAGAGGGAGTGGGATGTGCAAAGACCGCGGGCGTGGGAGAACCTGGCGCCCTTAGCATGGCGGAGCGAGGAGAGCCGGGAGAGGGGCAGCTGGCCGCTGGGCGTGGTCGGGGCACAAAGGCGGTGCTGAGCAGCGTGGTGCGTGGCCAGGCACTGTGGGAATTTTAAAGAGAGGAGTGATGTGTCCAGATATGCAGTTTAGGAAGACCATTCTGGATTCTGGGTACCATAAAAGGCAGTCGGGTTGCCTGAGATTAGTTTCTTCCCATCACAGGACAATGCGCAGCAGCTCCCCACAAAGGGTTCATTTGGGAGGGTGGGGTGTGGCAAGAATGAGAAGCAAGGCTGGAGATGCTGGGGTGCTCAGGCTCTTGTCCTACATGAGAGGTTGTAGGGGGGGTTCCTGGGGGGTCTCCGGGGGGACTCATACTTCTGCTCTTCTCTTTGCAGAGCATACCTCATCCCTTCCTATTCCTTTGGAGAGAATGAGGTTTACAATCAAGAGACCTTCCCTGAGGGCACGTGGCTAAGGTTCTTTCAAAAAACCTTCCAGTCCACATTCAAAAAAATCCTGGGACTAAATTTATGTACCTTCCATGGCCGGGGCCTAACTCAAGGATCCTGGGGCTTCCTGCCTTTCAATCGGCCCATTACCACTGTTGGTGAGCTTTGCAGTTTCTCTGGACCACTCTGGTCCTTGATTCCCACTCCTCACCCACCCAATCATACATCAAGTCCCAGGGAACCTGGCATACAGCTGGGATGGGCAATGGGGATTCCAGTGGGTATGACTGAGGGTGGGTGGGGAGGACGGCTGAACAGATAAGAGCTGTGGCCATTCACCTTGTGGGACAGTTCAACAGTTGCCACGAGAGCATCATTATTCATATACATTTTTTCAGATCTCTCCTTATTGTGCTCTCAGTGTCTTGAGCATGTGTGAGATTAAGTATTTGGAGAATGAATATGGGACAGAATGGGGCTGGAGCAGAGGGAAAAAAAACAAAGGAAGGGGAGGGTCCCAGATACTTTGTTTTAATATGTGGCTGCCTCTGAGGGATGGGTAATTTGAGGTGGGAGGGAGCTCTGATGCTTGTTTCTTCTTCCCCATAGTTGGGGAGCCCCTGCCAATCCCCAAGATTAAGAGGCCAAGCAAGGAGACGGTGGACAAATACCACGCACTCTACATCAGTGCCCTGTGCAAGCTGTTTGACCAGCACAAAGTTCAATATGGCCTTCCTGAGACCCAGGAGCTGACGATCGTATAACAGGAGCTGGATTCCTGTACTACTAAACACCCAAAGCATTGAGGAATCCAAGTAAGACCACATGAAAGGAAGAATTTGGAGAGAGGAGAAGATCTCAGAGATGAGAAAGAAGGCCAGCCAAGCCAGAAAATACTTCAATGAATCAGGTTTGGGTAAAGGAAGCAGAGGAACAAGGGGAGACTGGGTAACGACCCAGTTTAGCTAGCAGAGTCTTGTGAGTCCACAGATCTTTTTTGGCCCCTGACTCCAGCCCACTCTCTGATCAGAATAATGAGAAGCCAAAGAACACCATGCTCCTTCCTCCCAAGCCTTCGTGACACTGTCACTATTTAGGTTTAGGCTTAGAAGCCTTATTGAGAACATGGATGGCTTGTTTCCTCCTAGGCCCTTTCCTTACAATTTGGGGACCACCACGAAATAAATCAGGAACCTGAACCATGTTTTCCTGATCCAAGCAGACAGAATTCCCTGTTGTAACGCAGTTCTGTACTTGCAAAACGTTTCCATGCAGTCATGATGTTTCTTTTATAAAAATAAAGGTCTGTATACATAAAGCTGGATGTAACTATTTCCTATTTACTCTATGGTTCACTACTGTACCTCTCTCAAACTTGGCCAGAAATCTGGTCTGTGGAAAGCCATTTTCCTCTTTTTCATCCACCCTTTATATTGCCTCTGGCAGAAAATGTGAAGTAGAACCATAACTACTGCACAGTGTACGAGATAGAAGCAGAATCATGCAAACTGACACAGGTGCCATCTCTCCTGATCCCACATAACCACCCTGGATTAGAATTGGGGGTGGGGGGGGCGAGCCATGAGACTATGCACTAGCTGAGAGTCCACTTTATGTCAAGTACCTACTGTGTACTAGGAACTATGCCATCATTTCCACAAACTTTGTCTCTTAATGCTAACGCCAGCCCTGTGATATTGCCATTATCTTCATTTCACAGTAGCTGAAACCCATAGAGGTTAAGCAACTTGCCCAAAGACACGTAGCTTTGGATAGAAGTAGCATTCAAATCCAGGGCTTACTAATTCCAATCCAAAACTCTTTCTAATGTACCAACCACCACACCTCCCATTCTTCATTTCTTGGAGACCTATTAACCAGCTTCATTCTCCTCAGTGATGTCCCATGGCACCCCACTTAAATTAATTCATAACATTGGGCAAAAATGACATGGATTCTATTCAGAGTGGTCCCAGGTTAGGCCTCAGGGAAAATAATTTATTAAGTTAAAATTTTTTTATATCAATAGAATGAAATTGAGAGTCCAGAAACAAACCCATACATTTATAGTCAATTGCTTTTTTGCCAAGTATGCCAAGACAATTCAATGGAGGGAAAGAACAGTCTTTTCAGTAAATGATGCAGGGACAATCGTATACTTATGCAGAAAAAGATGAAGTTAGAACTCTACTTTATACCAAACACAAAAATTAACTCAAAATTGATCAAATACCTAAAATGAAAGCTAAAACTATAAAACTCTTAGGAGAAAACATAGCGTAAAGTTTGCTGGCCTTGGATTTGGCAATGGTTTCTTAGATATGACACCAAAAACACAAACAACAAAAGAAAAAATAGATAAGTTGGACTCCACTAAAATTAAATACTTTCATGCCTCAAAGCTCCCTAACAAGAAAGTGAAAAGACAACCCACAGAATAGGAGAAATTTGAAAATTATGTATCTGACAAGAGTCTAATATCCAGAAAATATAAAGAACACTTACAACTCAATGACAAAAAGACAATCCAGTGAAAAATGGGCAAAGGCTGAGTAGTATTTCATTGTATATATAGATATATAGATATATACCATATCTTTATCCATTCATCAGTCAATGAACATTTAGGTTTTTTTCCATATCTTGGCTCTTGTAAACAATGCTGCAGCGAACATAAGGGTGCACATATCTTTTCAAATTAGTGTTTCCATATTCTTTGGATAAATACCCAGAAGTGGAATATTTGGATCATATGGTAGTTCTCTTTTTAATTTTTTGAGGAACCTCCATTCTGTTTGCTATAGTGGCTGTATTAATTTACATTCTCATCAACATTATATGAGGGTTCTCTTTTTTCCACATTCTCTCCAACACTCATTGTTTCTTGTCTTTTTTTTTAAGTAAAAACAGTTGATATACAATATTATATTAGTTATATCAATTTCAGGTGTCCACTATAGTGATCTGACATTTTTATACCTTACAATGTGATCATCTCACTATTTCTAGTAATCATCTGTCTTTTTGATGATAGCCTTTGTAACATGTGAGGTGGTATCTCATTGTGGTTTTGATTTGCATTTCCCTAATGATTAGTGATGTCGAACACTTTTTCATACCATCTGTTTATCTTTGGAAAAATGTCTATTCAGACTCTGTCCATTTTTTAATTCAGTGTTTTTTTTGTTATTGAGTTGTACAAGTTCTTTATATATTTTGGATGTTAACTCCTTATCTGATGTATTATTTACAAATATATTTTCCCATTTGGTAGGTTAGCTTTTAGTTTTGTTAATGGCTTCTTTTGCTGTGCAGAAGGTTTTTATTTGATGTAGTCCCATTTGTTTATTTTTGCTTCGAGGATGTGACACACACAGTAGAATACTACTCAGCCATAGAAAAGGTGAAATCTTGCCATTTACAACAACATGGACAGACCTTGAAAGTATTATGCTAAATAAAGTCAGAAAGAAAAATACAAATACTGTATGATTTCATTCACATGTGGAATACAAAAAAATCATGAACAAACAACAAAAAAAATAAAAACAACTTTACAGAGACAGACGAAAGACTGGAGGTTATTAGAGGAGAAAGGGATAGAGGGAGGGTGAAATGGGTAAAGGGGTCAACTGTATGGTGACAGGTGCAAACTAGACTTTTGTATTGAGCACAATATAGTATATGCAGATGTCAAATTATAATGTTGCACACCTGAAACTCATATAAAGTTATAAACCAATGTTAGAAACTCATATAAAGTTATAAACCAATGTTACCTCTATAAAAAATAATGGGTAAAAGATTTGAATAGACCTACCCCTCCTTATAAAATATACAAATGAAAAGGTGCTCAAAATCATTAATCATTAGGAGAGTGAAAATTAAAACCACAGTAAGTACCATTTTACACCCACTAGGATGACTATAATAAAAAAAATACAATAACGAGTATTGATGAGGATATGGAAAAATTGGAACCCTCAGACATTCTGATGGAAATGTAAAATGGTTCTGCCCCATCGGAAAACAGGTTGGCAGTTTCTCAAAAAGTTAAACCTAGAATTATCATATGACCCAGCAATTCCACTCTACAATATATATCCAAAGAATTTAAAACACATGGTCACACAAAAATACGTACATCGATGATCACAGCACAATTATTTATAATCGCAAAAATGTGGAAACAACCCAAAGATTCATCAACTGATATATGGACAAACAAAATGTGCTGTTTTCATACAATGGAATATTATTCAACTCTAAAAAGAATGACGTTCTGATAGTGTAGCTGGCAATGTGTTTATTTAAGATGGACGTCTTTAAAATGGATGTTTTGGCAATCAAAAGCTCAATGTCAGGCACTTGCATTACAATCAAAAAAGCTAATTATCAGGCACTTATACCACAATTTTTCTAACAGCTAACGACATTGTACATCTTTCCATATGCTTATTTGCTGTTTATAAACCCTCTTCATCAAAATGGCTCATGTCTTCTGTCCATTTTCTAATTAGATTGATTAGATTGTTTTACTGTTGAAGGTTCTTTATGTAGTCTAGATTCTTAGTCTTTTGGTGGATATATGGCTTGCAGATGCTTTCTCTCAGTCTACAGTTTGTCTTTTATCCTCTGAACAGGGTCTTCTGCAGAAAAAAATATTTTTCGTTTTGGTGAAGTCCAATTTACAACATTTTTCTTTTGTTAATGTATCAGTTTACTATTGCAGCTATAACAAATTACCACAAACTTATAGTGGTGGCTTACCACAACTAATTTATTATCTTATAGTTCTGGAAATCAGAAGTCTGAAAATGGGTCTCCCTGGGCTAAAATCAATGTGTTGGCCAGGTGATGTTCCTTCTGGTAGAGAAAACACATTCCTTTCCTTTTCCTGATTTTAGAGGCTATCCACATTCCTTGGTTCATGACCCTCTTTCAGCAAAAGGATCAGTCCAACCTTATTGTCATACTTCCTCTGACTCTTACCTTTTCACCTCCCTCTTTTAAGAACCATTGTGATTACATTGGGCCCACATATATTATTCAGGATAACCTCCCCATCTCTTAATCACATCTGCAAAGTCCCTTTAGCCACGTAAGGTACAAATTCACAAGTTATAGGGATTAAGATGTGGACATTTTCGGGCAGGCACTATCAAAGGAAATCCACATTTCGGGGGCCTCCACAGCAGATACCACCAGTCTCAAGTTATATGTCTGAGAAAAACTAAGAAGTTTTCAGAGCCTAATCTCTGGACCTCAGGACCTGGAGGAGCTTTTTCTCAATAACTTGTTTTCCGTTTCCCCAGTAACTGAAAGAAAACTGAACTTAGAGGCTGTAAGACAGAGAACTGGTGAGTCAGAAAACAAAGCAGTCAAGATGATAGCTGGAGGGGGACTCCACCCTCTTGACAAACCCAACTGCCTGGAGGTAAGCCAGGGGACACAGCCCAAAAGCATCTGTACAAACAAGTCCTCCCCGAAGACAAGCAGAGTCTGGGAGATGCCTCACTCCTTATCCTCGAGCTCTCTCACACCATATGACATATACAGATCATTACAGCACATCCTGTTTGTAGAGCATTAGCAGTTCAACAAATGCGTCAGGTTACTCAGGTTACTCAGTACTTTCAAGCTATCATGACACTAATTCAAGCTTTCACTACTTTAACAAATGCTTATGACATTCTTACTATGTGACAGGCACCATTTTAGATGCTGAGATTATAGCATTGAATAAAACAAAGACCTTGCCCTC